TTTGGGTTGTCATTGTACAAATATCCTGCATAGAATTGGTGCTCACAATTACTTCTTACTTTATACCTGCTGTCTGCTGTTCCAACATGACATGTTTAGGCAGGAGATTGTAGGTACTGCTGGAGATTCTGTGTTTAAAGAACCGTGCTTCTATGTTTAGAGAATTAACTCCTTCTATGGTTATGGACCACATGTTCTGTCTTTAAAGTTATTTTTTTGGCCTTTGTTGGATAGAGTTAGTGAGAGAGAGAAAGGAAAGTAGGGGAGAAGAATGGGGGGAGGACATGTGGGAAAGGGTCATGAATGGGATTTGAACTCATGACCTCCACATTGGGACTGTAGCCCTGCACATATGATGCCAGCTCAACCAGGTGAGCTATAGCGGCGCCCCAACACATGTTCTGTCTTAGCTTTACGTAAAACGCCCCTATATAAGCCAGTAGCTAGGTTTATTCAAGAGGGAGATTCTTTTTGGCTTCAAATCCTCTCGCAGGTATCTGAAATATTGTACTTGTATGAATAAACTCTTTGTATGTCAACAAGATGGTGTCTGCAGAGAATTTCTTCATCATCTTCACATCATCGCTACACAATAAACAACAGCACAAAGGAAATCTTTATATTGTTAATTCTCTTGTTTCAAAATTCAAGAAAAAGACCATTGATTAAAAACACACACATATGTACCACTCTGGGTGATGTGAGGTGACTGAGAATCGCTGCTCTCTTGTCTCAGATGAGCATCTCAGCGTCACTTAAAACCTGCTGCGACTGTGAAGTCTCCGCCTGATGCTTGGGGTGCCGCTTAATCTTTTTACATCCAGCGATCCAAGGGAACGAAGGGGCCATTTGGACCGCCACAGAGGCTTTTTTTTTTTATTCTTCTCTAATCTACATTGGGGCAACTTAAGACTAAATGCTCCCTGCGAGTGATGTCCTTGTGATTATTCACCTTCTGTATACACTGGAGCAAAACAAACAGTTGTAGTCAGCAGCCTGTAACAGCTCCTGATTAGGTTAGAAGATGATCAACTGTGTGGAAAGGTTGTGTAGTTGTAAGGTTTGTCTTGTGTTGCTGTGGCCTGTGAGGTACCCATTAAGGGACACAAAAAACCTACTGTGGACACGATGGGATGAGATCTTCTTTCTAATCTTTGTGGGGGTTTCATCTCTTTAACTTCTTTTAAGTGGCATCCTGTATCCTATCTGTGTCGCTAACAGGCTATTGTTGCCTTATTTCCGCACCGCTGCCCTCGCTAATCGCTCATCAGTCGTTCATCGCAATGTCAGTCTGACGTTTTTTTTTCTCATTGATCTCCTGCTAATAAAGAGTGACATTCTCTACGTGGCGCTCGTTGAGAGTTTTTCTCCGAGAACAAGCCGCCCCTGCAGTGTTTACGACAGCAAATGCGGCAAAAGTGACATTTATATGATAATGTTGGAGATTATTACTGTGATCTTTCACAACAACTCAAGGAAGTTTGATTGCTTCATTTAAATAAACGTTGTGTCTTGAATATGTAAGAAGGCCTATTAGGGATGCGAGTAATCTTCTGAGACAAATATGGTATTTGTTAAAGGGCTCAAAAAAGTAAGTTGAAAGTAGCGCGGATTGTGGAGTGCGGCTGAATCCTCCTCTGAAGCCACGAGGAGAATTTCTCGATTGTTTTCCTCGTGTGTGTGTGTGGTTCCACATGAGTATTCTCTTTGGTCGCTCCTCTACAAAGACCCTCACTCCAAAGAAAGGAAGATAAAAGAAAATACAAAGTCCATTTCTTCTTGCGGCTCTGCACAGACATGCCAGTTGTTATTATGTGGATTTCTTCTGCACCTTTCAAGGAGAAAATAAAAGGTTTAGCAGTGGTCAATGCTTTGAAGTGACACGGGCCACTGCTAACATTTGTTTCAAGAAGGCGCATGAGGTCTGAATGCTAATTAGGCCTGTTTTTCCCTCCCTTATTATTTCAAAGAGAGAAAGCCGGTTGTAGGGTTGCAGTAATTTAGCTGCACAGTTGTAATAGAATTAGAAACACACTGGACACTTCCGGACAAATGACATTTTTAGGAGAAAGAGAGAAGGCGCAAACTTTACAGCATCGGTCTGACAGTTAAAAATGGGTTTATTGGCTTTTTCGGCCAGAGTTAGACAAGAGGACGGATGTGTGGTAAGAATGAAGGCTTAGCTTAGCATACAGACTGGAAACAAGGGGAAACAGCTGGCAGGTAGCAACATTTGCAACCAAAGCGTCTTTGAAGTTCACTGATTATGACGTTCAGTTGTTTAATCAGCGCAGAAAAAAAATTTAAAATACCCCGACCATGTGGTGGGGAGCAATTATCAGGCAACCAGCAGAGCCTGGAGGAAGTCACCGGTCCTGGCCGAGGAAGTATCTGCTACGAGCTTTACTTTTTTTTAATACAGATGAATTTATACGAGTGGGATCTAGAGAGGGTTCTGCCTTTTGACAGACTTTCTTTTCGCAGGAAGGACGCTTATTAATATTCATATGGAAGGTAATGCAGCCATACATGTTGAACCAGAACCCAGTTCTAATGAGGAAATTACAGCCATCACTCCACCCTGCAAGCTGACAGGATTTACTCTTTGTTCTGTAATTTGGCTGCATGTAGAACCCTGTGGGTCTGAATCCCTGTTTCATGAGTGAGAATACTTCGCTGTGCTGTTGGCTGCTTGTTTCACTTAAGATATGACTTCTAACAAATGAAAAAAAGGGACTGTACAGACGTGTTAACAAGGTACAAAAAATAAAAATAAAAGTCCACAGAAAGGGTTTTTAACAGGAACAAACAAGCCAGATCATTACTTTGCTCTGTGTCACTTCAAAGATTGATCACCACTAAAGAACTGAGAGAGAACAAAGCCCATGAAATGGAAAATTTTGTTTTCACACCTTTTGTATGACTCAAATAAGCAAATCTAAGTTTTACTCTGTGAGCTTTAGAGGTAGTGTTGGGTGGATCTTGTTACCTGTGGACAGAAAATAGACCGTATGTGAAACATGGCTGTAGAAGACGACATCACCAATTAGTTTAAGACTGCTGTTGGGAAGTTTGGCATTCGGTTGTCTCAATCTTGGTCTGTTGAAAATGGACATAATCTCAGTAGATGTTGACTGAGAACCGAAGTACACTATGTACGGTGAAATGACAACAATCACAAGACAGGAACCGCCCCAACACCTACCCTATTTAATTGTCTATTTTCCTCTAAACAGGAACATCCATCTATCCAGTTAACCTCAACATGTTTCTGGGAGGAAGCCGGAGAACCCGGAGAGAACCCACGCTGCATGGGGAGAACATGGAGACTCCAGAAGCAGAAGGATCCCGGGTGTCCTCACCGGGTCGAGAACTGGTGATCCTCCAGCTGGGAGGCGACGGTGCTAACCACTGTGTCACCATGCAGGCTTAAACAGGAACATAATTTACAAAAAGAACATCATGCTCTATTCTAGTGTTGCAATGAGTGATTAAGATTGTAAACTCATTATGTTGACTGAGGTGACAGACCAAGGAGAAGGGAAGGTCAATTTCTCATTGATTTCTATAGAAACTAACTTATTTTTGCAACCACTGTAGTCGCCCCCTGCTGGCTGAAAGACAGAATGCAGGTTTAAGACACGTTGGCTTTTTCCTCAGACTTGGAGGCCACATGCATCACTTAAATAGGGTGAACTCTGCTCCATGCCACCAGTTTCCAGTTTTTATGCTAAGCTAAGCTAACCTGTTCTAACTGGGAGCTGTAAGAGTGACATCGCCAGAGAATGGATCGTACGAGTGAGAACAAATCTCATCACTCATTTTCTGCTCGTTTCCAACTCTGCCATACAAAGTGGTTCAAATTTCAGTTTTCTCGTACACATTTCTGCTTTGTTGAAACTCCTAAAACACGCCGTTCAAAGACAGTCAGGAGTGCCGTATAGTTCTAGCGTCAATACAGCAATTTCGCTTTGGTGTAAAAGATTTCTCGCAGAACCTTTGTTCATCTTTGTCACATCTCTCCCCGTCACACCTACAGTATGCCGAGATTATGGCGTTACAATTCCAGCCCACTCGCTGAAGCTTTACATCCTTTGTGCATAATAAGCCTCGGTGTTCCCCTTTATCTGAATGAAAGAACTCTCATATTCAGTGGAGTTAAGTGGTTTTGTGTGAGTGCACGGGGGGGTGGGCGCTTCTGGAATAAGCAAACACTTACTACACTCAGATACACAGTGCATATGGCTTCAAGTTAACAGGTAATCCTTTGCCTAAGCACAGGTAAATAAGCGGCAAATGCATTTAAATATGAAGGCAGGTAGGCCATTTTTTATCCATCCTATGGCAAATAAAAAGAGACATTTTATTCAGGTTTCCATTCATGTACTCAGAATGAAAGGAAATTACGGTAAGATGGTACTTTATTGGTTTCAAGAGAGACGGAAATTGCACCAGCCCAGAATCTTAGTTGAATAAACATATCCGTGATTTAAAGCATTTGACATGTACAGTAGGTAGATCTACTCCAATATCATCTTACACAAACCATTGAGACATTCAGTTCACTGTTGTTTCGAATCCAGTTTTTAATATTTAAATGAACTATAAAAAGCACATTAAAACATTTTCTCATTTTAGTTACAAAAATGGGTCACCGCGACGGGCTTCTCATTGCATTCACAGAAGGATTTGAACAGTGGATGTCTAACAGTTAACGAATTCCTCTCTTAAAAAAAAAAAATCCCCACCCAAAATATATAAACTTAATTGCTTAACCAAGGTATATACAGGGCATAGCATCCTTGCATCTTAAAGGTTATCAAGAAAGTTTGAGGTATACAACCAAAATAAAAGCCTGTCAGAAAAACAAAACAGAAAAAAAAAAAACAACAAATAGAATTAAATAAAGGAAAATGAATGCCATGATTGCTTCCTACTAGCACAGGATCACAACATTAGTGGGAGATGTTGCCATAAACGTGCTGGTGTGATACTTCCAGTTGTTTCACCGACGGTCACAAGGGCAAAACAGCAAAATAACCTCAAGCTTTGGACTATCAATATATACAAAGGGCATACAGTCTAATTTAGCAATAGAGAATTGTTTGAATGCTCACTTTTATTTGCTTCATGACATGTACACAGAATGCGTTGAACAAAACAAACAAAAAAATAAAAATACCAGAATTGTAAATTTATTAGATTTAATGACTTTGTCTTTAACTTACACTGTATATCTTTGAACCGACGTTGGAATTAAAGAAGCCGAAAGCAGAATCTGATACACATGCAAGTTTTGAAAGTGGATTCAGAAATAACAGTATTGTACAAAATAATAATTACAGTTTTTTTTATTTTTTTATAATTATCAAAATACACCTTCTTTCGTAGCACCTCTTTATACTTTTTGTGTGTTTTTGAACAAGCACCATTGTAGTCGTTTTCATACAGCACCTGGAGAATTCAGAGAGGAGATCTGTGTCCCCCTTTATGTCGCCCGATCCCCTCTCCTGGTCACCTCCGATTCACCCTCCTCTGCCACGCATTCGAATGTCCTTCACCTTTTGCTCCATAACGTGGTTAAGTCATGTGGTTCGAGCCCTACAAGGGCAACAAGTATTTTCCTGGGTTACACGTACATACATGGAAAGACATGTTTGCTACACCATCTCTTATTCAAAACTTGCATGTGGCATAGAAAAGGGTGGGGGGCTAAAAAAATGGGGTTTGGTGGTACTCAGAAGGTCTCAACGTGACTTTCTTTGCTGGCCCCATCAAGTCCTTTTTTTTTTTACGTTTTCATTTTTGTTTAGCCAAGGAAGCAGACGGGCCCAACTTCAAAGCCAAACTTCTGGTTGGGATCCCCAAAGTCAGTCAACATGACGTCGGTGATTGGAACCTGATCGATTTTGGGAGTATTAATCTCCATCACAGTCTTTCCGTAGCCCTTCCGTGTCTGCAACAGGAGAGAGGTGGACACAAATTAGAAAATCACAGAAACACCTTTTGCTTCTAACTGCAACCATCTACTGATCTATTACAGATCTGGGGAAACTTGCAGTAAAGTGGCTGAACTGAAGTTTCATCAGTTACAACTGCAGCTTCTACTCCTTTATTCATTGCGATTTTATTTCAAAATGAAGAGCCTTGTTCAGTAGGAATGGAATTAATTGGGAAACTTAGATTACAATCATTCACAGTTTGTTAGCTCTTTAACTTTTTTTTTCTTACACAACAGGACTAAATTTGTGCCAATAATCAGCAATCACACTTGATTTTCTGCTAGAAAACAACCTCGTGATAATGTATTTAATTGCTAGGCTAGGTTAAATTATCCAAAAAATGAAAATTAAAAGCCAATATCCACAAAGCAAAACGTGCAATGCCTTTTGAATGTAAGCGGTGACATTACTCGTGCTAACAACCTTCAGGTGATGAATCCGTTTGCTTCCTGCTCATTTAGACAAGCTGGCTCTACGGACAGTGCTTACCGCGCAGCCGTCCGAGATGGCCGTGATGTACGGGTTGTTGTCGTAGGACATCTCCTCGTCGTTGGCGCCCAGGAAGCGCAGCGCCTTGTCGTAGCTGTCGCTGGAGGCGTCGTGCCACGCCACAGACTGGTGGCAGCTGTAGGTGAAGTTTTGCCTGGCTGAGGCTGTCAGTAGTCTGAGGAAGGTCATTTGCACCATGTTTATTGAGTTCCCATCTGCGTCAACGTAGGAAAACTGTTGGGGAACAAAGAGAGAGTTGATGGTGAGAAGGAGAAGCACATTCGAAAGTAGATTTTTACAGTTTCATTCATTTGTTTTAGTACCAAAAAAATAAAACAAGAGCGTATAATACAAGTGTAAAGGGGGAAAAGATGATCTAAAGGGTTTTAACATGGTTGGACACAACCACATGCTGCTGGAACAGCATCAGTGTACCGCAGCATTGATTCTCTAATGCTCTGTAACTCTACTGGAGGAATAAATCAGTATATGTACAGTCGTCCTCACATGTATTCATAACCTCCCATTAAAGAAGGAAAAAAACATCTGCAGCTGAAATAAGTTGAAATTGACAAAAGAATGTCCTTAAAACCTGTCAGGATGTAGTATATAGTG